GAAGTGGACGTTGTCGGTCAGCTGCGCTGAGGCTGTAGACTGACTACTGTCACGAATATAATTCCTGGACGCTTTTACAGTGAATAAATAATGTCTGCACACGAAAAAAACGTGTCGTGGTGTTTGTGCAGGCTTTAACACTCTGTGAGATTTTGGGCAGGAATCTGGGCTGCGAACGTTTCCAGTCGGCTCGGCGACGGGAATTATGCTGCAGCAATGGTCATACTTGTACCCGCCGTAACAGATCTCACTGGTGCCGATCCCTACGGCATTTTTCACTATAGGCAGAGATTCGTTTTAACGGCAAAAGCCATGCACAGTTCCAAGATGATAGGTCACGTTCAAGCATATCACATTGTGACTCTGCGAACGTGTGCTAAGGTATACTCAAGTCAGAGACTAACATTTCTGTTGAACCTTCGCACGTTCTGCTAACATCTAAACAGACACAAACACACACACACACACACACGCACAAACACACACGCACACATCATTCACACCTACGAGCTCACGCACGCATACGCGCGACAGAATATTCGGCTCATCCAACGAACTTCTTTTGTATGCGAGTGTACAATATATTGATACATATTTTCACTATGCCTTAACTGCTAAAGACACTCTGATGTGTTGTCTAGTGAGAAGAGGCAACACAGGCAAACGTGCAGGCCAGTCACAACCTTAAAAAAGATCGACTAATATACCCATCATGTAACTCAAGCTGATCAATAAAAAGATGATGGTAATAAATCTAAAACCGCACCATGAGAAATGTAATGTGGGCAGTTGTAGTGATCAAGAGCTTTATTGTTCAGTAGCATGGCAAACAGCGCAAAAATAAGGAACATAAATCTGAAAAAATAAGCGATGAATGAAAAAGTTTACATTGATTTGCTTCACCTGTTCGTCCCTTTACATTAACGTAACTGGAGGGAACACTGAGTGATTTCTGCAAGTAGCGACATAACTCTCGACAATAAATGCGCAGAATGAAGAACCATGGGTGGACGTGGACATGTTATCATGGAAGGGCAAGAACAATGTGCATAGTACAATAATTTTTAGACGATATGAGATAAACTCTGTGCATGCGATGTTTCGCGCGGAAAACAGACGCATGACACAGCGGAATAGTCTTGATTATCCTTTTCAATTGACACGAAGATCATCCTGCGTATTACATGTCATATTCTATGCCACATAGGCTACCCTAAATTTACGAGAATTACTATATGGAAACTGGGGTTGTTGCATTGCTGTTCACACCTCTCGTATTCGCGAACCACGTCTGCAAGTAAAGTAGCCGCTGAAAAGCAAGGAGTATAGTCAATGGGAGAGAACTGAGTTATTCTGCCATGGTGTGAAAGTTACTTTAAGCAATATATCCTAATCAGTTGAACTTGCGCCGTTAGTGCTGGAGAAAAGTAGCGCATAATAATTTTACCCAAACAGTCTTTTTTTTTTTTACTACCTGCTACGATGACCCTAGTGGTTATGGTGCTCATTGATGACCCGTAGGTCGCGTAATCGAATTCCTGTCGTGTTGTCAATGTAGGCGAAAATGCTCGATGCCCGTGCACTTTCACTTAGGCGCACGTTAAAGATCCAAAGGGGTAAACTTTCCGGAGTGCCCCACTACGGCGTCTCTCATAATATATTGTGGTTCTCGTAACCTTCTCTCATAATCACCTTGTCGCCCACAGAAGATCAGAGTTTCTATAATGGAGGTCAGTTTTTTTCTGTATAACTCATTTCGGGCTTGCACTAATGACTCCACCTTTTCAGCGATTGACTCACCTTTTAGTGCTTCTAGAAAATTTGTCGCGTATAGAGCAGCGGTCTTCTGGCCGTCACACTCATTGTCGCTTCTGGAATTTTCGAGTGCGTTCTTTTGACGTGTGAACGAAGAGGATACCAAGCTTGTACCAATAACTTGCTGAGTTTCCTTGCCTGCACTTTCTTTTCCAAAAAGCAAATATGTAGTGCTCCCTCCTCATGTATGGAATACACCAGCAGCCAGGGAAAGATTTCCTGCTGGTGAGGTTGGAACTTCAGTTTGCGCTTACCAACTGAGGGAAAGCTGTAGTTAGCGCTTGGTTTCCATGTCTTCATCAACAAAACTTGTCTGGACTCGTCCTGCTGCAACTCCTGGAGTCTTGGTCCTTTAAACACGTATCAATGTCGTCAGGAATCGCGTTTTCCGTGCATGCATCACGCTCTGATCGGTTTTCAGAAGGTTTTTCAGCACAGTAGTCGTATTCAAGCAGTGCAGAATTACAGCTGGGAACCGTTTCTTCATCTACTGTAGCTTTTTCGCCTGTTGTCGAGTGTGCACTTGCAGTTTTGCCTTTCGGGAATTAATCATCAAGCGTTACCTTACGGCGTTTCGGCGTGGCTAGAATGTACTCTATCGCGGCTGTCAAGTCTCATAGAAGGGTGCTGATAGACACAGAACACGAACTATACCCAGCAATGCGTTTAGAGAGCGTATTTTGAAGGGGTGACTTCGCATTGCTAGGCAACCACGCGCTCAGCAAAGTTCTGGCAGTGACACTGAATGCGAGGAAGAAGAACTTCACCGATGATACTTCTCGGTCGTTAAAGTTCCACCTTAAACACTATAGTGCTCGTTTCTCCCCCGGAGGACAGATTCGCAGGTATACATTTCCTCTGCATCCTTTCAGGTGCCGGTATAAGGTCACGCTCACCCAGTAACGCGGCGCGCGAAACGCCTCGCATTTGTGATTGCACCCCTACGGAAGGCTGGTAATTTATGTTGCGCTGTGATCCCACACCAAAAAAGGCGAATGAACGCGAAGAAGTTGGTGCCACAGTGAAGTTCCAGTGACTCGGATCAGAATTTCCGCAAACAGACAGCCTCCAGGCATGGATGGTGCACAGTACAGCGTAAGTAAACTCATGTTGCATACGCTGGCAGCTCTCGTCGGAGTTGACGTGTTCTGAGAAATTTATAATGATGCACTATGCTCGGAACAAAACTGGGGTTCGTTCCTTCATCACTAGTGAACTAATCACTTGAGATTTTGTGTGATACGACTCATACGAGGTCGCTCCTGTTGGTGCCGGCGTAAGTGCTGCAAACATGAACGCACAATCTAGTTAGATCATAGCATATCGTATAGCATATCGCATGGTATATCGACGCTGCGTGCTCAAATATTCTGTACGTTACTCAATCTGTTGACGTAAAGAGAAAGAACGACCGCACACTTGCAAAAAACAGACGCCACCTTGCCGCAATGCTATCGTTTCAGAGACAAAAGTCACGAAAGCTACGAAAAAAAAAAAAGAGAGAACATTATGCGTTTTTGCGCGTATTTAAGTTTTCTAACGTATATATACGCAGCGAACAAGCTATTTCCATGTGAGTAGGTATATTCACCTTTTCATACACGCCTCCCTGGGCGCCGCCATAGCCCTCCTTGGGCTGTGCAAATTGGCGCGTCCCCTCGAAAATGCACTGGAAACGCTGCGCCCTTAGCCTTTGTACTTCCGCGCACAGCCCATCATGGCGGTGTTTTTTTTCCTTCCCGTGAAAAGGTGTATAGTTTGGTCTCAGGTGCATTTTTCGTTGAGACAAAGTGAACATTTTTCAGAAATGATTACCTTGCCCTCGCAGATTGCCCGAAAAAACCTCTGGGATTGGAGTACGTCATTAATATAAAACGTCACAGTGCAACTGTAATGTCAACAATGGTTGCGAGGAGGTCTGCCTGAAAAATAACGCGTTCGAAATCGTGTTGCCAACATGCAGCATAATTTACAAAAAAAAAAAAAAAACTTATGGCCTATCGCAAGCATGTGTGGATGCGTGCAGTTAACTAAAAAAAAAAATGTTGACTGAGAGCTATCATTGCGTCAAGGCAGCTTGACATACGGAGCTGAACATAAAAATCATTCACATAGACATGGAGTCACTCTCATTCCACGTTGTAAGCGGAGCCGTCCTTAACTTGTGGAACGCACTTCAGCACTGACGAGGACTACACCATCTGCGCTTAACAGAAATGAACGATTAACGATGTCTTCTCCGTTAGGGAGGGTCGTCGCAATGATGCGTGTGTTTTCGAAGACTAGTCCATTCAGTGGTGCGACGAGAGGACGTTGCCTCAAACGACCTCTGTACGGCTTGTTTCTGTGTTTTTTACTGGTATTACTTTACTGTTGCTTACTCTCCTCGCAAGCATATTCACATTTTCATAAACGCCTCCCTGGGCGCCGCCATAGCGCTCCTTGGGCTGTGCAAATTGGCGCGTCCCCTCGAAAATGCAGTGGCAACGCTGCACCCTTAACCTTTGTACTCCCGCGCACAGCCCATCATGGTGGTGTTTTTTCCCTTCCTGTGAAAAGGTGTATACGCACAGGGGGATCTCACGATTTTTATGTACGTGTACACAATCTAGTCAAACTATCACTGATAATCACGCAGGAAGGAAAGCTGATGTCTTTGCCCCCCCCCCCCCTCGTCGAATTAGTCTGAACACCACCTCCCCTAGAAAAAAGTTCTGGCTACACCCTTGAGCGGAAGGATTTAGATTCTCTCATTCGGCCCGACTTTCTGCATAATCCAATTCATCTTTTGTCCAGAGATATCTGCCGCCACAAAGGAGGTAAATATGAAGGCAGTGAGCAAATAGCGCATTTCTGTTACTTTTGAAGTTTTTTTGGGCAACACCAGTGGATGATTACAGTGGGTACCAATACCATGGGTATCCTCTTGGGGGATGATAATGTAAACATTTTCACAGCGTTATGTTGGCATGAGTCTTAAAAACGAGAAAATGTTGGTGATGACAAAAAAGAATTTTTCAAGCAGTAGACAATTCTTATTTTTGTGTGTGTTGATTTTTTTTTAATATTGTTCGTGTCCTTGCGTCAGTAATGAAGTCGCTTTCGATGTTACCGCCAAATGCTGCAAGTGGTCGTTATAGTCACATTCGCTAACGATGCATGCGCCACACATCGGCCAGCGTGAGCCACGTTTTGCGGTAGCCATTTTGCGTGTATTGTGACGCCGGTCGCCGTGTGCGTAGGTCTCGTCGTCGCAGCGTCGATTCATTTCTCGCCTACTTGCCGTCGTGCAGTGCCGTCCCGTCTGCGTTTTGCGACGCGATAAAAGGTCGTTACTTCGCCAAGCGCGTAGGACGTACCGGATCCACTGAAGCTGACCATGAGTGACCGTGAGGTGAGTGAGCGATCTCATGTCTAGTCTCGGCGTGGCCACCCCCTGCTAGATGCGTGCGAAGTAAACTTCGGGCGTCATTGCGTTGTTCCCATTTTCAGGCGTGCGCCAAGCTGTTGCGCGACGTTATTACGTTAGCGCGGGGCGTGGATGTGCTTATTGCTGCTCATCGTGCGCGTCCTTGTGTCTTGCTGGGTGTCGCCGTCAATATGGCGCGGACAAAGCGTTTCAGATCACCACGCCAGGTTCTGCCGTCGTTCGAGGCTTGTGTGCCGGTTTCGTTATGGTATTGGCTTTGGGGTGGTGCGTTCATTATGGGTTTTCTTCCCTCTAAACCGCATTGTCCATATCGTTAGTTCTACTCGTTACTTTGTCGTCGAAGTGATATTTTTTATTTCATGCGTCTTCAATCAATTGTTTGCACGCCCTACCCTAGTCGTGTGCCCGGTGTGCAAACGAAGGCTTGCGCGTTCGATCGCTGGCTGTGCTGGCTTTTGCAACGGAGGTGGTGTTGCGGGTTAGCGCGGTTTCTGCGGGCATTGCTGCGGGAGACCGTCGATTTGCGTCGCGAGCTCGCGCGCGCTGTTCTGTTCCCGAGCGGCCATTTTGCCGAGCTGGCTGCACGCGACACCTAGGGTATCTTTTCTGGCCTATTATCTGTCCAGACTGCCGCCTTTCTTTCTGAAGGTCGCGTCGCCGTTGCGCTTCTCCGAGACGTTGGTCGCGATAGGCTGCGTGTCTCACGGAACAGCTGAGAGACCGGGAAGTTAAAAAAAAAAAATCTATGTCGACCACACCGTCGTGAAAGAGCTCGTTTTTTTCCTCATAATTGTATATGCGTTCGGAGTGAAAAGAGCTGCGGAACTGCGTAGGTATAGTAGCCGTAGCTTTTAGGAGTATAAAAATGCTTTTGCCATCTAGCCTGTGCCTTGGCTGCAAAAAAAGACTACAGCTTAGTGATTTTAGCGCCAATTCTATTCCGCTGTTGATGGCGTCCACTACTTAGTTACCTTCCCTGTGCTTTATAGCTGTGGTCTTTGCAAGCTGCTTTATATGTGGGTGCAGAACTGTTCTGCCAATTTTCAATCTCGGATGAAATCACGCGCAGAGTAATTAAAGCATAGCAGGTATGCGCCATTTAAGATGGTGTTGCTTATAGTTCGCCTGACCATTTGCATACAGGTGTCGTTGGCAGTGTTGCATAAAATGCGATTGGCTCGATGCGATTTTGGTAGACTTTTTGACGCTGAAATGAGGCTGCTTAGTTCACGTAAATCAGGTTCATCACGAAAATAAAACGCTTTGTTGTAACAGACTATGGAAATATAGAAAATTTCAAGCTCGCCATAAATTTGATGCAGTTTAGACTATTGTTGGAAGTTTTCTCGAACTCGTTGCCTAAGCCTACCTTGTGCTGGGGTTTTTTTAAGCTCACTTACGTCAAGTCCTTCATCGTTTGTGCGACATTTTGCACTCGTTCTTCAGTGAGTACATCAATGCACTGTGGCCGTCACCTGTTTTCTTGAGCATTGTCATTCAAGATGCACTTAAAAGCACTCTTAGACCACAAAATCAATTGAAATGTTCCTTGGCCAACTGAGTGGGCTTGCTGAACACATCTGCACGTAATGTAGAACGCAAAGGGTACCGCTGTGCACACATTGGTAGAGCAAGCATGGGGGCTACAGTTTGTTGTCGAAAAATGGCCAGTCCTCTTAGCACTAACAAGTGCACAGGCAAAAGGGTATGCTGTCATGTTGCATTTACTGATAATTCATCTTTATATAACTGACACCCTATTGTCGATTCAACTGTTACTCCTTTCAAATTTACTTAAATTCACACTTGGTTCATATTCATATTTTTTGAAATTTTATTCGCTTTATTCACTTTATATTTCTACCTACATGCACACACATGCTACACTAAGCGTTCGTGCTCCTTAAGGGGACACTAAAGGAAAAGAACAACTTATGTCAGAGTGAGAGCTTAATGTATTACAAGGTCCAAAACTGCAATACTTAGAGAAATTAAGCTAAATGCAGCACATGAAGGGCTCAACGAATGATAGTTTTGAAATAATCCCAATGACGTCAGAGCATCCGACTACAAATAATCAAGCTAGCTGCAATAAAAAAAGGATCTTCCATGCATGAAGAAAGGTTTTAAAAGGCTGTTTGATTTAGTGCAAAAAAGTACAGCCTGGTCTTGCTATGGGGAATGGTGCAAGTGGTTCAAAATTCCGTTTTAGGCTGGATGGGTGGTGCCATTTAGCAGGGCTAAATTGAAAACTCAAAGCATGTTGTGCACCATCTTAGAGGCTATGGCAAAAAATTGTTCAGTGGCTGTTGTCGCTGCTGTGGCTGGCGCCCGCTACTTTCACTCTGCTACTACTAGTGTTGACGGCCGTGCAGTAAAGGCAGGCAACATTGAGTACAGTGATGTGACATGGACTGCTTTCAGGCGGTGGATTAGAATGGTGCTAATGTTATGCAGACCACTGAAATGCAATTTTATTTCAAAATAAGCACTTTTTTGGCACACAAGGATCACTACGAGGTTTCTGGACTGCCATTTCAGTAATCAACATAGACTTGACATGTGCCTTCTAGAAAATTTCAATTCTTATCCAGGTATGCGGGTATCCGCCACACGACTGTTGATTTATTTGCATTATGTCATTGCTAGAACTACGGAGAGTTGCGCTCGTAACTGCACCAGCAACATGTGCAGGAAACTACCACATCTGAGCATGTGGGCCATCGAAAATGCCCGAAGCAGTTTTGTGCGAGGGCATTAAAACGACGAAAAAAAAAAGCGGACTCTTCCTGGTATATAACATGAACCGAGAATGTTTGCTGTATGAAAGGTGCCGATTGGCGTGATTGCACTTTTTTTTTATGGCGCTATACAGTTAGCAGCGCCCCTCATGCTCAAAGGAGTTGTCGTGGTTGCCGCATTAAACAGAAATGGAAACTGCAAAGGCAGGCATAAAGCGCCGGGCATGCTCGCATGTGGCCCTTAACGAACTCTAATCTCGCTCGTGCAGTTTCCAGTGAGATGCTCTATTGTTCTAGACACGCGAGTTGACCACACTCCTGTTATTACCATAAGGTGCTGGATATGCTTTTCATCTGAGCCCTACAAATCTTTCACCATGAATAAGCAGGCAAAGTGATAACAAGGAGCACTTGTGACAAAACTCTGGGATGCATGCATTGAAGGGTACCTCAGGTCAGGAGCAATGCACGCTCTTGATTTTTCTGGGCAGTGTTGTGGAGCATACCCATGCTCACTATTACAGAAACAAGAAGTTTTAATATGTGATACATGTAATGACTGGTTATTATTGCACAAATACCAACGCAGAAACCTTTTAAGGGTTGTAACATTGGCCGTAGTGGTCTGGACTGAGGACTTGAGCAGCCTTTATATGGTGATTCCTTTTGGTACAGTGATTGGCACCCTTGAAAGTGACCCCCCTTCCTTCCACCAACTTTCCTCAAGCCTCTGTGCTGCAAGTCAATACAAGTTATGATGATGTCATAGCCATTTTTATTTTGCCATGTTTGTGCCAGCAGACAACCTCGGCAGCTGCTCGCAAGTCTGGCACTGGCGCGTGTATAAAGTTACATGTATGGCGACACTGGTGTTCTGTTTCTTGTTAAAAAGTACTCAATGCAGACAGTGCTGAAGTGTGCCACAGTTGTGTGTGCTGACGTGGTCGAGCGTCACACTTGCCAAGTCATGGATCCTCTGGACAGCTTGTAGCTTTTGGAGTGATCTTGGAACAAAAACGCCCAGCCAAGGTTTTGTTGGTGCTTTTTAATACACAAGAGTGACAAGCGCTCAGGACCTGGTGGTTCCCACGAACATCCAATTTAGCGAAATTCATTTCCATTGCTGCTGGGCTTTCATTAGACATGTGTTTTCGTAGTTGGGAGAAATTTTGTTTGATTGACAACAGATAATTGCAATGTTTCAGTTTGGGTATGGCAAATGTGAATAAGACATCAACTGAACAATTGGCCTACCTAAACTAAACTGGTTCATTAAATACGAATTATGATAAGGGGAGATGCTACTCGAAGACCCCTTTTTTCTATTCACCCTAGAGCAACGAAACTTGAGGTGTTTATGGATCTTTATCCTGATTTCAGATATATTAGTTGCAAGTTGCATACTTTTAGCTGAGCAACATGACAAAGGAAAAGCCCTAACCCTTTTGCCGCCCTCTTTTCATCCCTAAGCTTCCATAATATTTTACAATTCATAGTTCAAATAAAGTATTTAGATAAAGTTCAGGTAAAGTATATAAAATGTAGAATGCAAATAACTAATTGGGAAGCACATAAAAGACATGAAATAGCGTGAAAAATAAGACCTAAAACGTCCATATTTCACCTACCCTGGTAAAGGTTTACATAGTGTTTTTATTATACAATGAAATATTGAGATTTAAACTAGATAATTGTATTTGTGATACTTTGGAAACACTTTGGGCGAAATTTCATGCACATCCGAGCACTAGAAGTGCCCGAAAAAGAAGGGTACATTGAAACAAATGGCAAAGTTAGTGTTTTGAGAAAAACAAGTTTTAAAGTTGTAGTTGATTTTTTCATAAATGAAAGATATTAAATCTGATGAAATCTGCACACCAAAAAGAACAATGCTTTTGGTAGTGGCCACTGCCTCTAAAATACGCCAGCACCATGAGTTTGTCCCTCTCGGCTTTTCGAGTAGACTCCTCACAGACATTTCGCTCACAGACAGGGCCATGCTTGCCAAACTTCTGCTCCATCTGGCAGAGCCTTGTGCCAACTGCAAGGACTGCGAAATCGAAACTAAGTCCAGTGTCATGCCATTTTGCGGCCATGCTTGTGCCACATACCATCGTGCATAATGGCATTGTCATCCCCGCTAAGTTTCCTCACTGCGAGCTCTTTCGACTTCGCAAGATTAGCGCTGGCGTCATCCATTGCTGCATCACGAACTTTCTGGCTGTGAATGACTTTCATGGGTGTGAATGACTTTTGATGCATTGGCTTTTGCATGCCAACAACTGCCGCAAATCGGACCAGCTGCTCATAGCCTATTCATTCAGAGTGTGCCGCACAACGGCTTTCACTTGGGAGCAATGGCTTTTTTTTATTCATAATGGAGGATAATCACTCTATAAAAGCATTGTTCAGCTGCGCTGCTCGACAAGGCATGGACCCCAGAAATAGGCTTCACAGCACATACAGGCGAGCAGCGGCCAATGGCAGACCTACCACGTGATAAGCCAGTCGCGGCGCTCAAAAAACTAGCACAAGTGTGCTTCTTTTTATTATTTCTTGCACTGCATCGGCGAGGGAAACTGTTATTAGAATAGTGAGGCTCGACTTTTCGGCTCATGCGATCAACAGTGGCGAGCGGCGGCGCATTTTCGGCAGGCAAGGTGCTCGAAGACTGCACTCGGCTTGTATTTTTTTTAAATAACAGTAGAGGTACAAATCTTGTCAAAACAGGCAAAAATAGAAAACCTAATTGTGAAAAAATACAAGTTTTTCAACCTGCATCCCCTCTTAAAGCAAGTATTATTTGCATGTCACATAACGGTATAATGTCTTTTGCCTTTTGCTAAATTGAAGCTAAAGAGTGCCACATCAAACATGACTGGCTTATGAATATACTGTATAAGCTGGTGGACCTCAAGATGCAAATCACAGCAGCGCAAGAAGTGCTACATTGAAATGTTTACTGCTGATCACCTGTGGCATTTTCTTATGTAATGTAAAATATATTCAGAACACCTGACAAGATAGTTTTTATAAATGTAATTAGTTGTGTAAACAAATTGTTCTGTAGCTTGTTGTCTGGGAGAGAAACTTTATTGCTTTGCCTATCGCACAGCTCATCCTTTCAAATTAGTTTGCACAGCACAGTGTGATGGCAGTATTATTAGCATTTTAAAAACCAAATTTCTACTTGGCACTCTTCTCTCCATTCTTGAAACACCCTCAAAACTACCGTGCAATTTTCAACTTTTAGTTTTACAAACTCGGATTCGTAATGCTGGTGCTGTGTGTTTTACATGGCTCTGGGTGCATGGGCAGGGTGGGTGGCAAGAGGCTTGGATTGGAAGTGATTTTGCAGAACGGATTTTTATGTGAGAAAAGGCATTCTAGAAACTGTAAGATAACTTGCGATGCCTGTGGCTGTTCTAGCTTGTGACTTTGTATGGTAGTCCAAAAAAAAAAAAAATTTGTCGGCACAGGGCTGAAACTTCTTGAACATTGGCTACACTTGTGATGCGTGTTAGATGCCCTTTGCCCAGTTGAGCAGCTGTGACGAGAACTGCATGTGGCAGATCCAGAGTGCACGACTTATGAGGTCTGGATCCGAAAAAAAAAGTCACACTGTCCTAGCACAGTGAATTAAAGTGTGTAGAGAGAAAAGTGTGATGGCAGTCGGCTTTTTACTGTCATTTTTTGAGTGACCTTTGTAAAGGACATGCAGGAGCCAGTGTCGTTCTGAAAGACATTTTCCCGTGCAACGGGCTTATACACGTTGCGCAGGTGCAATATGCGCAGCTGTGCGTAATGTCATAATGGCAAATATTGACTTGCAAGAAAGTGGGATTCATGGTGGAAGTGCGGAATGGAGATTCATTATACATTATGGCTCACTGTAAAACAGTGATCAAGTGAGCCTCTCCCCTTTTTTAAAGAAAGTTGAAGGGACTGAGGAAGGGCTCCTCTCCTCTTCCACCATTTGTTGTCAACTTGTTCTCGCTGCAAAATCCTGCAGCAGCAGTCCATCGGAGCCCAAGTTATGAGTTTTTAAATATGTGCTCTGCACTTTTAATTCGTGTCTCAGGGTAGCATTCTCAGTTGTCGCAAATAGTCGGAATGTTTGAAGAAAATCTTCTCCCCTTGTGATCACACGCGAAATTTCACTTGCTTGCCTCAGGTTCAATAAAAAACATTAAGTGCACGCATATACACTAAAGTATTTTATTAAAACAGGTATGCACTCATTGTGTCGACTTTGTGCTGCTGTCGATCTAGAATTTTGGTCAGCGGCCGAGCAAGCGGCCCCTCCATTCCAAATCATGTCTGATCATCTTACGATAGCAAGGAATGCGCAGCTAAGGAGGAGCAGCTGAGGTATGAATTTTAATCAGTGTTGACTGAAGCAAACTGGAGGTTCATTGTGCAATCTGGTGAGTGCTGTGAATGCCTGAACAATTGATTTTATGCCCAGTAGTTATGGCTTGCATTGATGGGCTTTATGCTGTGAAAGTTAGTTAAATTAGGTGGTGGCTGTCCTTTCAGGGAACTTACTGTATCCATTACGCAGTTAATTCAAATATAGCTGAATCAGGCCATTGTGTCACTGTTCACATACAAAGGAATTGGATACGCCACACATATCGTCGCAATGCCCGACTTGCCATTTTTGCCATTCTTGATAATGAAGTTTAATCAATCTTAATTTTCCTACAGGAAATATTTACTTGCAAACAGGCACTGCGTTCTTGGGAAGCCTAGTGAGCTTTGGAGGACACTTCGTTTACTTGGTGATCCAATATTTGCACAAGGAAAACTTGCATGGCTACCCATGTATATATATTTATATATGCAAGAGCATCAAGATGTGTGTATGTGATGCACTCACTCTGTGTGCACGCGAGGTGCTTCTGGAAAAAGTTGCTCACATATGCTGCACTCGCACCGGGATGCATACCTTTCGACTGTGCTTCGTATTCAATGCATTGCTTTGTCCTGGGCAGCTGCAGTTACACTGCTCCATCCCATTTGTTGTCCTTTAATCGGGCCGTCTGTGCGTGCAGGGCACCCCTGAAGAGGAAGCCGGGGAAGACTACATCCAGGACAATGCAGCGGGAGAGGAGGAAGAGGAGGAGGCTGCTCCCTCGAGGGACGATGAGGATGACGACGGGGGCCGCAAGAGCCACGACGAAGGAACACCGGAAGATGACTCTCACGAGGGTCGCCGCAGGCAGCGTTCTCGCTCCCGGTAAGCATGCTACTCCTAGATTGTGGTCAGTCTAGGGGCTGTCCGCCCCTCTCTTTGGGCTGAGATGAACAGAAGGTCACTGGTTTGATCAGGTCTTGGCAGCCATGTTTTAGCGATGCGAATTGTTAAAGGCTCGTATACTATGCGATGTCTGTGCACCTTAAGAGCGCCAGATGGCCAAAGCTTATAGAGATGCTCCTAGCAATTGTCTTTTATATTAGATGTCTCCTATAAGCATGGTACCTTGTATGCATTTTCTTATCAATCTGTATTTGACTTTAGGCACACTGGTGTCTCTTATACCCATTTGTCTCTGATATCAGTGTCTCTTATAAAGGGGTTCACCTGTATTATTACGCGTGTAACCACCAGCAAAGGTGGTTTCACTGCAGTGTAGGGGGTGTGCAGCCGTGAAAGCACCTATTCCGGAGAAACCTGCTTTGCTGCAAAGCCCCACTTCAAGTTCAAAAGGGCCCGGCAACATTTTTTGAGCATGGTCAGAAAGCCTGCCCATCGATATTGAGGCTACAGAGCATACATGAGCAAAATGTTTGAGCGCAGCACGCAGCCTGCAAATAGCAATCATTTTTTCAAGTGAGGTAGAAATTGCTCTCTTGACAAAGGACGCCACAAGCTAAAAAAATCGCTCGTCGCAACCATTGGCTGATTTGAGCATGGGGCGCCTGGCCATTACTGGGCCCGTCGCGGGAGGCCACGACTTGTACATGTGTGATCGCATTGCAAAGCTGCATATTCCAAGAAAAGAAAAAGAGAGCAAAAGTGTGCAAGGTCACTAGGCTCACGCCGCGGTAGGCCACCACTTGTACATGTGTGATCGCACTGCAAAGCTGCATATTCCAAGAAAAAAAAGAGCCAAAAGTGTGAAAGGTCACTAGGTTCATGTAATGTATTTTCTGCGCCATCGCCCCCTGCGTAGCTTCCAGCGCTTTCGTTGGGATGAAAAGAGAATGCAATTGGAGCGTGCGACAAATATTGCAAATCCACTCGTACTGGACGGTTTCTAAAATTTTTTACGGCGATGAATTCGTGAGGCAATAAGGTTCTTTGGTGAATCCATTGCACGGCTACTCAAAAAAGTGTTGCAGGGCCTCTTTACTTGTGCTATTTCCCTGAAATCAATTTATCTTTTTTCAAGCTTCAAAGCTTGTTAGGACGTCTTAATGCTCCAAGTATAATAAATTTTAAAATGTTGCATATTTTACAGGTCGTGACTATCATGTTACAGAAAGTAAAATCCTGCTACTGCTTAAGTTGTATCGACTTCTTTTGAAAAAAAAAAAAAAAGGCATTGGCAGAGGGTCCTTAATTTAATTTAAAAAAACATTGTGCAGGTTGTTAGGTCATGATAAATATGCTCTTATTTCTTACAGTCAACTCTTTAATTCAAACTCAAAGGGACCTCTGAACTTGGTTTGAATTATCAGTTCTCATATATATGACTGTGGCTGAAGTGAAAGCACACATTATGATTAGTCATTGATTTATCACGTTTAAAAATTTTTAAAGCATTTTTTAGCCCGAACTGCATGCAATGAACAAAAAGCAGAGATGTAGGGTGCGTAGAGATGCAAGTTTATTGGCCATTTATTGCTGATCAGACCTATTGAAGAAATCTTGAATTGCCAACTGCTTCATTACTATAGGTATATACCTTCAGCACAAAGCTCTCTATACCAGTTGAGAAGCATCACAGTTTGCCATTCGTGTGCTTCGTTTCAAACATTTGTTTGCCTGCAAAGCCTTTTTCCTTAAAGGCCTCCGGTGCTTACTTTTCAATTTTAGTGCTAGGATTTATTATATAAGCACACAAATTTTTTAGTAGTGGATATTTCTTACTACGGACCTGCAAAAAGTATGAATTAAATGAATGAAGTAGCTTCAATTACGAGGCTTTTAAATACATTGAAAGAATTGAGGGCTGACCAAAAAAAGTGAATTTTATTTGAATCAACCCAAAGTTTGAATTATCACGAGTCTACTTTATCTCATATGTACTGTTCAGATTGAATTTGAAAATATTCGACGAAAATCGCTATTCACTTCGAACTTAAAATTCATTGTTTGCTCAAGGCTAACATTTTTGCATTGCCACAAGCTTTCGATTACAAAAGCCACCTTTTTGCAAGTATGTTTCAAGCAGACATAAAACACTTGGCATGACTTTTAATTACATGAATTGTGCAAATGTAGCTCGTAAAATTATCTTGTACACTTGACCACATCGCATATGCGTGTTTCCATGTGGATGATGCCATTGTTTGACTAAGGCAGTAACAACACTGAAGTCCAAAAATAGTTATGCTGTGTTAACATGCTGCCGCAAGAATTTCGTGAATACGAGCTATATAATGAAGTTGCAGACAATTGGTTTAAGCTGGTTTAAAATTTTTGCACTGTCTTGCCACCCTTCTTTCTCACAGGGAGGGTAAGCTGAAGCCTGTCGTCGTGACTGGTTTAGAACAATTGACCAGCTGTGTACTACGTCACTGCGCAGGAGCGGAGGACTGGTCAGGTGTAGGAAAGGAGCGCTAGTATTTGTTTTCGAAATGGAGGCTCTGCGCGGCGTGCGGTGCTGTATTAGTCTGAAAACGGGATTGCCCCGATCTATGCTGAGCTCTGCTTACTTTTCTGCGCCACTTTCTTTGTCATGTCCAGTACGCAGGTTGCTGGGTCAGAAAGGGATATAAATGAGTGTACTGCGTATTAAACTAAGAAAGCTCAGTTTATTGTCATCTCACTGCATGTTGAATTGGTGTGTATGCTGACTGTCTGACGTTTTTAAATCTGCAAACTGGTTGCTTGCTGCCTGGTTTGCGATTGGCACGTCCCACCTAAACTGTGGTGTTCATGTGGTGATGACTGATGTGTTTGCAGGAGTCGGTCCCGATCGTCACGGAGACGTCACCGTCACTACAGCCGCTCCCGATCACGCTCGCCGAGGCGTAGCAGATACTACTAGTGAGTGCTCACTGTGTATCTAGTGACTTTCATTATTGCTTCTTGCGTTTTGCTAAGGGGGGGGGGGGGGCACTGAAAACTTATTTTTGATTGATTTTGATGATAATTGTAGTTTGCAAATATCTATGACATACTTGCCAAGTCTCCCAGATTTCGGCCAGTTCTTACATTTCCACAGCTGTCAAGAAAATCTCCCAGAACTCAAAATTTCTGTGCGTGATTTGGCTGCATTGACAATCTCTCTACACTAATGCCCCACGTGGGTGCTTTAGGTACTGTAGATAAATGAAAAATGCAGCTCAAGTTCGATCCAGGCTTTCTGCGAACCCATCGCATATTACAGTGGAACCCCGTTCATACGTTTTTCAGCGGACCAGGTAGGAAAACCGTAACATTTGAGGAAATGCTAGAGTGAGGAAAGCTCCGAAAATAATGAGAGCACCAGTGCTTTGACTACAATTTCTTTCGGCAAGGTCAGCCTAAGACTTAAAATATTCGACGATAGTTGACTGCTGCTTCTTTCGCCGGCTCGTAAGCACCACGCGTTTCTCAATAATCTGGAAGGCTGCATTGCTTTCAGCGTCGCTTTGGTGTGCGACGTATTTGTGAAGGTAGTCCAGGGCTGCAACTGCTTGCCCGAGTTGGGATCAGCCGCCTCCACTGCCAACACTTTAGAATCGTTTAGCTCGTACTTTTCGTCGTCATCGATGTCCCAGTCTTGAGTTAGGAGTGAGTTTGCAACGAACTCTCCCATTGTGTCGCGCTCCCGACGTCATTACGTCTATCGCACCCAGTGCATGCATTGCCTCATTGAGCTCTTGCTTGCAAGAGGCTGCTTCCTATTGTTGAGCTTCGATGGCCAGCCCTTCGCTGTCCATACGAAACCAACACTTCGTGAAGTAGTGTTCTACTGCTGTTGTGCATGCTGCACTCTACACTGATGCGATGTAATGCATGACATAGAGTATCAAAATCGTCGTAGGCTGCTGTCCACGATTATACGTGCGAGGCAGCGCTTGACAAAGCTTTTTCAGTACAAATGCTTCACGCATTTTACTACTCCGGCTTCCAACGGCTGCAAGTGGTTTGTCGTATTTGGTGATGTTCTGTGGAAACAGCAGATTTCTTGGGTAGGCAGCACAATTGTCAGGAAAAGGAGAACCCTTCTGCACTGTAGACCCTTATTATTATTGAAGTATAGAAGAAATTCTTCAAACAAAGTGCACACCATCTATGCAGGACTGTTACTTTTGCAGTGGCATGGCAGCTGGCGAATGCTTTTCAAGCACCTAGGGGTTTTTAAACTTGCCGATCACCCACGGCTTCAGTTTGTCCGAGCTGTTCATATTGCAGCAAAGACCCACTGTGAGCCGTTCATATTGCAGCAAAGCAACACTGTCAGCTGGTCATTGGGTCTTTGCTGCGATTCCCTCCGTGGCACGCTTCACCCTTCAGGCTTAATGGTTTCTATGGCTGCACACGAAAGAAAAGGCCTGTTTCGTCAGCATTGCAGATGTGACGATGCTCGTACCCCTCAATTAAAGCAGACAATGTGGACTTCTAATCATCGGCTGTTTTCACGTTCACACTTGCCGCTTCTCTGCTTAGCATTTTGTAAGCGATGCCGTGCCTCTTGCGGAAATAGTCGATCCAGCCATTTGATGCTGCAAAATCAGCGATGCCTGTCTGTCTGCTATTTCCATCGCCTTCTCGCGTGAAATGTTGCCGTCTAAGTTGATAACATCAGTGCGAGCTTGTTGAACCAGGGGAGAAGAGCATCGTCAAGGTTCCTGTGCTTGCTGCCACAAGCATGCTTGGCTTTCGGGCGAAAAAAAGCGGCATTCCTTTCAATCTCTACACGCTTCAAGACGATGCTGTTGATTGAGCGTTGATTGTGGCAGTCCAAGGTCTTTAGCAAAGCCGACTCTCTTTCGCGCTGCCTGCTTGTCGATTGCTTTAAGTACCTCCAGCTTTTCCTCAATGTAAAGCGCTTTCTGCTGATCCAAACATATTAAGGCTTGACAGAGATTGCATTGACAAGTTCAACAGTAACAGGCTTAGCCCACACAATAGCGACTGAAGGTGAGTCGTAACATGCGGCAGTGGGACTGTCACGTACTTCCAGCACTCCGTAGTGAAACTTCCGTTGTAAGCGTAGTGATGGTGATAGCACTTTTCACAAGTGGCCATCTAAGAGCGGCCGCTCCAACTCGCCAGCGTCTTCTCGGCAGGTGGCTGCGTTGTCCCGTTCGTTCACGTGTGTCCCAGGAAGAAATATGCAAATTATTTTGACAGAACCTAGATTTTGCTAGTTCTTTCGATTGTGTAAATTTTGGAAAATAATGCATTTACTCTCCAAATTTGTGCACCTTTTTTTCGTGATTTTGTAACTCCAAAAAGGGAGGCACAAATTATGGTGAAATTTTGCACTCGCATTGGAAGTGATGCATATAGCCTTGAAGTGCGCTGTATGTACTTTAAGTAGGTGAAATTCATTTGTAGCAGAAACGAAGTGTGCTGTCAGCAGAGAAAGTTTGCGAGATCTGCAGGACATGGCAGAGCGACAAAAAACTTAGTTGCTGCGTCACCTACTGCGACATGGTAGGTGATGAAGCTGTCGGCCGTAGCCTTCGCGATTAGCACTCATGCTTGTAGACAGTGCCACTGCATGATCTAATCGTGGAGGCCGCGGGCAATATTCGCAACACTGACTGTAGGTGCGCTGTTTCGAGCGATGTTGAGCCCCCCCCCCCCCCTCGCTTTTTCTTGCATTGTTTTGTTTGTTTCGTTTTCTTTTGGTGCTAAAAAAGGGGAAGGTAAATTGCCTACATCCTCCCCCCCCCCCGTTGAGGAAATACCCCGGATTCAGAATCCTTGAGCTTGGCACGAATGTGTGCGATTTCCAGCGTGCAATTATTTTTTTGGACAATATGCATTTTTAAAATGTCGTTACCTGTCTCTTGTGACCCTTTATTCTCCTGAATATCGAGTTATAAAGCAAATTGTGTTATAATAGTCTGAACTGAATACGGTATGCGAAAAAATTTGAAAGATATGTTCCAAACACATTTCCACAAAGGGGGGGGGGGGGGGGGGTATGTTGAATGTTTTTAATGAAAGCCCAGCTTGAAGTATGAGTGTTCATGATCTTCTAAGGTAGTACACTGTGGAAGTAGACTGTGAAGGCACTGGAATTAATGGAGTGTTTAGTGGGAGGTTCGTTTTCTATTACTGCTACTACTAAGCATTGTGTAACTGCAAATAAAGTATACCATATGACAAAGAGTGATCGCGGCAATGTCTAGTCTTTGTCTGATTGCTGAATTTTCTTTTTTTTTTTTTAGCGGCTCTCGCAGTCGAAGGTGAGTGACCTCGTTTTCTTTATGAACATAGCCAATTGTGTAAGATGCAACATAAAAGTGAACGGCTGTAATTTACTAAGTGAGGAAGTTATTGTGTCGTTCCCTTCATTGTTTTTCTTAAGGTGCCCTCAAAGAAGACAAAGAAAGGGATGTGTGCTGTGGCTCTGGAAAATATGTCGAATATCACGGTACCACATCACGTGGGGAGCTTTTAGAGGCTGCTGCCTAATTTATATCCGCTTGCTTTGTTGGCGCACAAGTATTCCTTCAAATAATCTGCCCTTCAATATTGAGCGTTAAGAAATCAACAAATTGCTTGCTGCTCAGAGTACCTTTGGTTGGTAATGGTTCGAGTAGAAACCTCTTGTTTATGAAAAGAAACTCTGGCGATGTTTTTTTTTCTTTTCTGTTTTTCGCTGTTTCTTTCACACTTGCTAGCCTATCTTTCCTTCTTAAGAAAATATTGGTCAAGAAGGTGGTCTTATTTGTGAACTTAGTTGCTTGCTTACTGAGGCGTTTTGGTGTCCGGCATTGTGCCATATGTGAAATGACTGTTTACAAGTGTTTCTCATTCGCAGGAGCCACAGCCGATCTCCCATGTCAAATCGGCGACGCCATGTTGGGAGCCGGGTGAGTGGACGTGTGCATTGCGGCTCATTGTAGGATCTGATATTTTGGAAAGGAAAAAAAACCTTTTATTTTAACGTCCTGTGTACAAAAAAAGCATACAAAACGGTCATTAGTAGCCAGAGCCTGCATTGTTTTCTTTTGTCTTGGTTGTCTTAAGCGCTTTTCTCCATTACTGTGTCCTACTAACAAGGTTAAACTTGGCATTGGTCCAGTTTTAGCCAGAATTTTGTTACAATTACGAAGCTGGTCCTACTGTGGGAGACGAAATAATTTTGACCCATTGAGGGTTAGGGATCCAAAGCTGGCCGTGTTAGGACTCCTACTTGAATGAGTCTGGTGTAGCATAACATTAATTTTGTTCTGATTTTGGACCAGCTCTTGCCCCCTGACACGACACCGCGTTCAGCTGTTCAAATTTGTCTGTAATGTGACAGGTATGATATCAACAAGAAAAAAAATAACAAATGTTCACTTTTGCAATGTCATTAATGGCACTCTAGAACAAGTTGTTTGACTTAGTTCTCACTTTTTTAGCCCGCTGTTCCAAGGGCACTGCCTGAACTGTACTGTTCCCAGAGCAGTGACTGATAGTAAAAAACGCCAGGAGGTCAAAATTTCTGCAGCCTTCTACTGTGATCTTTTTTATTATCCTAATCTCGTTTTGGGATGCTAAAATGCATCAGTTATTACACTGTTATTTTGAATGTAAGATTCCTGTAAGCGCAACCTTTGTTGTCACCAATATTGACAATGTTCAATCTACCAGAGCGTCCTCTTACAGAGGAAGTGATGATCAATTTATTAGGTTTGTAAAAGGTAGAATGATGATGATTTAGATGTAACGAAATGAAGGTGCACGAAACAAATGGTGGTTGTAATCACCGTACCTGCCGAGTCTACTGGATTTTCTGTAGGACTCCTCGATTTGGACCTTCTCTAACGTTTGTATAGTTAGCAGGTAAATCTCACGAAATCAAAATTTTTGTGCATGATCTGGCCGCATTGACAAAAGTGAAACCCCCTCTAAACCCATCGGCATGATCGCATTAGGAAGCGTTGATGTTAACGTACACTAGAATCTTGGCGATTTGTTGAAATTCCGCAGCTGGATTCCACAGTGTCCGAGCCGAAATTCCAATATCAAACTATTGAGTAATGGACGAGAGCAACGTGCTGGAACTTTAGGAAAGATGCGCCCAGCCAACCCAACTGCGGTCAGCCTTGGCACTATCATGTATGGGATGTCGAAATTGACATAAATCGGAAATTGCACGTGCCACGAACAGCTCTTCTTTTGAACAAGGCTGCAGACGAAACCACGACGGAAGCAATGGTAGATAACAACAGTCGATTTCTTTAACACACGTACATGGCCAGCACACGTGAAATAAAAAGGAAACTATACTGTGCCACAACTACTATGAACGAAACTGTGGTCGCTGCAACGCGATCATTGACAGCAACCTTTAGTTCTGAAGGTACGCGGCTAATGCAGCAGTAAGTTAAGGGGGGAGGCTACCATCGGATACCAACTTTTTTGTTTATTGAGATATCTTAATGAAATTTTCAGGATAGACTTATAGCAAAAGCATTAGAAGAACTACAAAATTTCATCAAGTTATGTTCACTGGTTTTCAAGTTACAGCAGAATATCAGGGTAGTGCACATGGTTCTCTTATTCCAGGCCTGGAGAACTTTCAAAAGGTGCTGGAACTGTGAAATTAACTATGATGATTCCCAGATTGATACTCCAGGGGGTAACAGAGCCCTTTTTTGAATTTCCTTGCTGAAAAGTTTTAGCAGACCATCAAACTTTGTGTTCGTGATTAGGATATTATCAATCAAATTTTGATTAAATATAATAAATAACACACACAATATATTGAAAAAATGGGCTTGTCACCCCCCTCAGAAATTTATTCATGTACATCATAAAAAAAGACTTATGGAAATCCAATGAGTGGTTCCAGAGATATGGCTGGAATAAGCAGCCTCACTAGCCAAAAAGTCATTTTGAGAAAACGACGTTTGAAAGTTTTGAGCACATAGGCAGTTCTAAAATGAACCTGCAGCGTAACTGGAGGTGTCCTTTAGCACTCTCTTTCTTTGCCGCCTTTCCATCTTCTCTAGGGATCGCTTCTTAGCCTTTTTCAAGCGCAGAGAATCTTTCTCGGCTGCCCGTTGAATGGCCAGGTGGCCAGGTGTTAGCCCCACGGATGAAGCTAGCTCTTGGGTGGCCCTGTAGCAGCCAGCATTGTATCTTAGCACTGCATCATGCAGTGCTGTCTCCACAGCAATCAGTGACGCATGCTGCTCTTTGGGCATGAGGGACCACAGCACAGAGTTAAAGGACTCTAATGCATTCTGCGTCTTTGCTCCCAGGCAGCGTTGCAGAAGAGAAGCCTGTGAGAGCCTCTCATAAATGGGTAAAAGTGCATCTGCAACATAGCGTGGCAGCTTGTACGAATGCTTCGGAGGTGGAACACCGGTAATCTTGCTGGCATTGTGACGACACCAGGAGTCTGCACCCTCTGGGCACAAGTCGTGGTGCGGCTCCTCATTCGTCGACGTCACATGGTGGTACGATGCCATCACTGCCCGCCGCATTGCAGCCACATCATCGGAATTGTTCCGTAGGGCCCAGCCATAATAATCTGTCAACTTGTCGATGAGGGCCTTTGTCAGCCTGCCCTTCCCTCCCAAAGCCTTGTCACTTTTCTGCACAAGGTTGCGAAGTGCAGTCCCCATCCTCTTCTGAACGTGGTTCAGGCATTCCTCTTTTGAAATGGGGACCAGTCCATAAACATTTTCTTGTACAAGGGCAGAGAAGGTGGCACTATCTCCATCAGACACGAGCGTTGTGTAACGGAGGTCGTGCTTCGACAGTGAGCGTGAAAAGAGGATGATAGCTGCCTCAACCTCCATTCTCCCTGATTTAGAGTCGGTGTTTTTCTGGCACACATGATTCTCCAGCCAGCATGCATAGTCTGCGTCTCCAGGCTTTGGCCCTACTTGGCAACCAAGGCACTGATTAGACAGAACAACGGCGTCCAAGATAAGGCCCGCCCCGACTCCAATATGGGATGTGTGCCCACGCTTGTGCCATGTTCCATCATAACAAACTGTTATATCCCTGGTGAAATATTGATCCATTTCTTTGTAAGTGGCTTTTACAGCAGAAGCAGATTCTGCATAGAAATTTTCTATGCATTGTGTCTGCGGTTCCCTGAATTTCTTCAGGTGCTTCTGAAAGGTCTTGTGATGGAGGCCACGATGGGACACGTTCATCGCTGCCCAAAAGTCGTTGAGAGCTGTTTGTCCCTTGCCTATTTGTTTTGTTGCCATAATGGCTCTTACATTCACACCAAAGGCCTTTGTGTCATCCTGACGAGATGAACTCCATGAGCTTGAAACTACTCCACAATGCAAGCATACTAGCTCAAGCTTTGCAGCAAGTCCAAGTTGGGTGCCTCCTCGTACCTTCATCCCAATCGCGGTGCACCGGTGGCACGGGGTCCGAGATAGCAGGTCGTCTAGGGCATCCATTTGCACAAGGAAAAATTTTTCGCCTTCACTTGTAGCGGTGGCAGCTTCATGATCGCGCTCCATTGCCTGAAATTTCCGCTCCGTCGCTGGCATAGCGCCAAGTTCTCTTTGCACAGCAGCGCGTTGTTGATCCGCCGCCTCTTTCTCCTCGCACGTCAGGAAACTTGTTCGCAAATGCACAGGTGACGACGCGATCGCACTTGAGGCCGATGAAAGAGAAGATGCGGAAGCCACTGTCGATGAGCACGAGACACCAGGCGCACTTGTAACGACAAATTCTTGCACCGGCGGAGCAGGAGTCCCGTTGCTAGGCGCGTCGATGTGACCACTCTCTTGCGTAGATGAAGCAGAAGCTGCCCCACAGGTACCGTCGGCGCGATCACCGTCGGCGCACGTGCGAGCGGAGAGCCTCGCCGCGCGGACAAGCTTCATAGCTCGCTTCCTTGCACGGAACGATTGTAGCGTCTTCTTTTTCGTTGGGCGCATCGTGAGCGAACACAACGGTCTCGTATAGACGGTTGAAAATCGTCTCGTATAGACGGTTGAAAATCGTCTCGTATAGACGGTTGAAAATCGTCTCGTATAGACGGTTGAAAATTGTCTCGTATAGACGGTTGAAAATTGTCTTGTAAAGACGGTTGAAAATCGTTTCGAAGACAGTTGAAACGTGGAGAGTATGCGAACGGCTGCAACGATACACGGAAGCGAGCGGAACACAAAGACGCCGGACGGAGGAGCACCAGACGAGCGGCCGCATCGGCCGCATTATGCGCAAGAGCGCTAAGTCATCGCGCGCAGCAGCCAATGGCAGTCTTGGGCTCCCCCGCGTCCTTGGGGAGCGCGCGCTACACCCAATCCCAGCTGCCCGCCTCAGCCGCGGGAAACTTGAAAGCTCTCGCGAGCCCTCCAATCATAAGCGGCTTGCTCCTCTCCTGCGCTGCCGCCGGCGACGCAGGTGGCGGGGAAAGAAAGAGCAAGAATTCACAAACAAAACACCAAAATGGCGGCGCTCCATTGAGCGGTCGAGAAACTGCGATCACGCCAAGTTGGGGTATTTTGAGCGCTCGAGGGCCGCCGCGGCATGTTCTAAACTTTATTTCAAATGGTTTCGCGACGAATTAGACGTTGATATTTACAGAAAAGGTAGTTTATGACACATACTGCCCGAATATGTGGTTTGCCAAAAATCGACTTTTTCGCGATTTTTCGGTTTTCAAAGGCCGCGCCCCCCCCTTAAAGGCAGTAAAGGCATGAAAAGAGGAAAAGGCACGAAGCGATGCCGGCCTTTGTTTGCGACTATGGTTGAGCGAACTTCAGCACTTTCCACCTGGCTTCCAGCGAAGCTTTGATGCTCAGTTTTGCGGCAGCCAGCTGTGCCATCTCTTGTCGTTGCATTCACGTGTGTCCCATGAAATTATACGCAAGTTGTTTGGATGGAAAGAAATGATATCTGTGTATATCGCATTCTGGAAAGTGCCTTTGCCATTTTTTTTTTTTTTTTCATTGTAAGCTTCGTGCAATAATATTTTCGATCCGGCGTGAGCTTTTTACGTGACTGAGATTCTGCTGATGTTTAGAAACTCAGCCTGCTTTTTATAAGCCACAATAAGACTGCAACACCAATGTGTAGGTTTACAGGGCTGTTTGGGACTCCTACTCTCTCTGCGACTGTCTGTGGGGGGGGGGGGAGAGGTGCGAGACAGATGAATTTCTCCTCTTCCCTTGTTGCGCAAGTTTCCCAGATTCAGAATTCTTGAACTTGACAGATATGTCTTCACTGTGTTACGTCTAATTCAGTGTTTTCACCTTTCATAAATGCATTACGAACTAGCCCACCAAGCCATGCTTTTAGAATTCACTACTTGGTTTTTGTGCTCTTATTGGGTACAATAGGAGGCGCTACAGTGCTTGGTTGATTACTCATGCCTGCCAATATTGAATCGTTACCATGCATTCGGGTGGTGCAGTTTTCTAATATTTCTTTGTGCATCAAGTGTTCGCTGCTTTGATACCTTGTCGTGCCAAGTGTTGAAGATAAAAAAAAATGTTAACCTTATAAAGAACCTTGGCAGTGTCCATTTTCGTCTGCTAAACTTGTGTGTTTTTGAATGCAGGACAACCCGAGCACGAGCCGGTGCCTGGGCGTGTTTGGACTCAGCCTTTACACGCAAGAACGGGACCTCAAGGAGGTCTTTTCCAAGTACGGCCCGCTCGAGGATGTCCAAGTGGTGTATGATGCTCAGGTGGGTGGGCTAATACCTGTGGTCATAAGAAGCATTGCCTGCCTAACATTTCAAAATTGCGTGTTAACAAGCTTCTGGTGGATATGGAGTAAATTTGATGTGCGAACGACGTACCATATTTCACGTAATCCTTGCACTCGCATAATTCTCTCCCCCCTACCTTTCACAATGCTTAACAAATACAACTTTTTTTCCCGGGAACAATTACCGCATCTTTGCGAATCGCAGCAGTAATGTTGACTTTTTACAACCACTGATAACTCACGGCAGCCTAGTGCCACGTCTTGAGCATCGTGCATACTATCAACGTGCAGAGCCACAATCCAATCCCAAGCCATGCTTAAGTGGTTACTACACGTTTTGCCATGTTAGTGCTAAGTGAAAAACAGTGCACCTAGACGGGACGAGAAGTTGCAAGAGGTGCGTCAGTGCGTACCAACTGGCTCACCAACAATCTGTGTAAGTGCTAGTCCATGCAGCATACATTGTGTTCGTTCTCTAGTTACGCGATGGGTCGATACAGAAGCAATAGGGCTGCTTTTGAGTAAAGAGGAATATATCATGCACTAAAAAACTGCAAGAGGGCTGCTGGCAGGCACTTTAGACAGAGTCGACGAGTTTTATGTTCACTCTTGGTGTCGGCAGCGTGGGCAGCTGCAAGACGCCAACAGTACTCGGGCCTTCTGTGAACCCGACTGCCAAATATCAGGTTGAGGCGGCGCTTCTTGATTACGTCAAGGACCTCTATGCGTAGACCCTTGAGACTTCATTTGCTATTCGCTTTTATGTCCGCAAATAAATATTGCCTTGTGTTGTACCTGTGGTGTTATTGTTAAGGTGAGTCGCGATTAGCGAAGTTGAATCCCTTCAAAAGAGACATGCACCCATGTTGATTTGGGTTGTCTCTTGTAAGCTAGGTACCGCCTATGCATTTTCTTATCCCTGTTTTGAGAGGGGAGGTGGTGGTGAAAAAAACTATTTTGTTTGTTGACCTAGAGCAATGAAATTTGGCATGCATTCTCTTAAGTGTCTTGAATAGGGAAATATGCAGTTTCATGATACCTTGAGTAGTTCTCAAGTTACATCATGCTACGTGGTTCTAATTGTATGGTCTGCTCATGAAAAGCCTAGCGCTGTAACGAAACATGACAGGAAGCGGAAAATGGTGTTGATCTTTACTCTAAAGAAGACTATTGAGTATGACAATCTCAGAATATTTTTCACTTTTTTTATAGAGATCATCATGGCTGCCTACACACATTGTCAGAAACAGTGTCATGTACAAGTCATCTGCTATAAAAAAAAACTGAGCCATAAACAAGAATTCTAAGATTGTCAGACCCTCAAGAAATTTTTTGGGATTCGGAAAAAAAAAAAGACTGCATAGAAATCCGTCCAGTCAATCCCATACTACACTTTCCATGAGCATCGCACAATGTCTAAAACTCACTTGTGAGAAAAAGCCTGTGGAAATTTTCGACAGGCTTTTTTCGATGAACTTTCTTGTTTCTCGTTGGATATTGATGAAAATTGGCACAGACACAAAGAATGACCTCACAGTGCTTCCATAAAATTTTGAGGCAATACCACAAACACTTTTTAAGAGCACAAATTATTTCTTCATTGAACCTCGTGGAGGGGCTAAGCATAATGTCAAAAAAAAAACAGTATTGAGAAAACTACAATTAAAGTTGCAACTTTTCTTCACGTTTCTAAGACACCTAAAATTCTAATCTCAGGTTTGTCTTGTGATATTTGACTTCTCAGGCATCTGGTCTCTGACCAGTGTGCCTTGGTTGCTTTTTTCCCCCATAACCTCTTCTTCATGATTTACAAAGATGTATGGATTTCAAACCAAGTTCTTTGTATGGAGTGGTGTGATAGGCATGATCGAAAGATTGTAATTGAATAAGAACATATACTGAAATGATTACACACATTTCTTGTGCTGAAGTTGTAATTAGCATAATTAAGTACTTCATTACAAATAATCACTAAACGTTTCTTTGTTTGGAGAGAGGTTTATTGCATCAGAAAAAATAATCTCACCATGATGGCCTATGCCTTATTTCCAAATAACGAAGTTATGGGCAGAACATTGGTGGCACAGGAATTTTTAGCAGTGTAATTAATGACGCAAAACGGGCATATAAAAACTTGTGCCCCTGATTCATACATGCTCTTTTGCCACTCTAGCCATGAAACACATCATACAGCCGGTTGCGGAAACACGAGGCTTTCATTGCCTCGGAACATTCACGTGGACGTTCATGGCAATATCAAGCACGTCTCAATCGCATCACAAAAGCTTATTGACAGCACTCCATATGACCCTCCATATGGCCGCGTGGACAATGCAGCCGGCGCGTAATGCACTTGCCGGAGGCGTTCAGTGATGATGCACGAAATGTGTAACTACGATGACGAAAAAATCGACGCGCAAAACTGCTAGCAATCCTTGACAGTGAGGGGGGGAATGACGAGCTTGACTGTGTGGTCCGCTGCTGATGTGAAAAATGTCTGTACGTGGTTCAGAAGAGCTAGCGAGTGATGTGCTTAAGGGGAGACGCTCCTCGAAAGCACTTTTTTTTTGTTATTCAACTTAGAGCTTCAGAAATTGGACCACTGATGCAGTTTTTCCTCCTGATTCCAAATCTGTAATCAGTTTTTACATAAGTGCAATAGTTTGGGAGTTGTGTTTCAAGTAATGGTGAAACTTGATAAGTTTTCCGGGAACTTTCGCGCATACTAAATGTTCATGCAGAGAGTTGTTCAATGGCTCCTTTTGCTCCCTATTAGCCATAGAGTGCCGATATCTAGCTAGAAATTGTGCTCCAACTTTGAAACTATGAAAAAAACATCTGTGTAGCAAACTACCCTTTTTTTTCCACTCGACCACCATTAAATTTATTAATAGATATTTACAGCTGATAGGTTGTGCTGATTCAAGTAGATATCGGCACCCTACGCACTCTCCTCAATGTGTGTGCCAAATTTCGTCGTCGTATGACCATTCTAAGTGCCCGAAACACTTCCCGCAAAAAATGCAAATTGGCCAAAATTGCGAAATGAGAAAAACGCGTTTGAAAGTTTGAAAGTCTGTATTTACAAAAATGAAAAACGCAGTAGCACGAAACTTGTGCTGAACACATACACACATGTCCAGAGGGAATATCAGTTGTCTAAAACTCTCCAGCACCGTAGGTTTTCCCTTCCCGGCTGGTGCGGCAGGACTCCTCCACCCGGGCCCTCTTGGCTGCACTGCGACGGTGTGCCCTCGCCTCAGCGGTTTGACGCACATTCATCTTGTGCATGCGCATGCTGTCTCGGCGGTCGCTGAGGGTAACCAGGGCCTCCGAAGGAAGCACCCCAAGCTCTTCCAGCACCTTTTCAAAGCTCGCGTGGCCCCGGTTGAACCACAGGACTGCAATGGCTGTGGCTGTTTCCACAGCAGTCCGGGAAGCAAACCGGGTCTTTGGACACAGCAGCCATATTTTGCTGTTCAGGGACTCGGCCGCGTTCTGTGTCTTGCCGTGGAGGCACCGGGCAAGCAGCTTCGCATCTGTGAGACGCTTGTAGATTGGGAGGACTGCCAAACCCTGGGCCTTGGTCAGGAGGGGGGTGTGGCACGGTGCAGGCTGGCCCTGCGCCTCAGCACGTCGGTGCTTGCACCACGAGTCTGGGCCTGCAGGACAGAACTTGTGACTTCCAGCACCGTCTGTTGAGCACGAGTGCAAACATGAGGCCCATATGGCAGTGTACATCTTGTGGACATTTTCCCGATTGTTCACAATGGCCACCTGAAAGTAAGTTTGAAGCTTCTGGATGGTGGTCTCCTTCAGCTTCTCCCCTCGTGGAAGTGGCGTTGGCAGCTTCCGCAGGCCGGTGCCCAGACGTTTCGCCACGTGGTTGGTGCACTCCTCTTTTTCAATTGGAGTGTCAGGGTACACGTTGGCATCACAGACCCCGTTGTAGGCCTTGCTGTCTCCATCGCTTAGGAAGATGGTGAACCGCAGGGGTGTCTCATAGTCCACAGTCCTCTGCCAAATGCGCACTGCACCTTCGGCCTCCATGGCATGCGAAGAACAGTCGCAATTCTTCTCACAAACGGGATGATGAAACGCCTGCCATGTTTCTTCATCGCCTCCCATGTCGTTATGCAAACTGCACGCCAGGCAGAAGTTGGAAAGCACTTCATAGTCCAGGCACAAACCAGTGTCCAAGGACACTACAGTTCCCACACCATTGTGGCTTTTGTGGCCTCTTTTTTGCCATGTGCCGTCAAACATGACTGGCACGTCACTGTTACCAGCCACCTCTTTGGTGACGCTGCGTGCCCTTTGCATGTTTTCACAGACAGCCTTCACTGCCGCACTGTGAATCTTTTTGCCGATAGCATGGAAGGTCTTATGGTGCATAGGGTTTGGCAATCCAACTACTGCACAAAATCGTGAAAGTTGCTCATGCCCGATACCGACGGCACGCGCTGCAAGCACCACTTTCAGGTTCACGGCAAAGGCGTCACGCGAACTCCCGCTGTCGTAGCTTCTGCTTGCACCGCGGCCGCCATCTGACGCGACCCGCTTCGACGAGTACGCGGACGAAAGGATGCTCTCCGAGCACTCCGCATTCTCGCAGTGTAGCTCCAGAAACGCCGAAAGGCCTTTCCGCTTTTTATTCGGTGCCCGAACTGCGAGTTTACTCTCGTGACAAACGGGGCATGCCGCGCCTGCGACGACGGCCGTCAATGCACCCAACTCGCACAGCACTACGCTTTCGGCACGATCGGCATTCGGCCTGACGTCGTTTTCGAATAACGCGATCTTTTTCTGCGATGCACTCACAAAATTCACTGCAGCGTTGATCTCGTCGTCGCAGTTGCCATGGTCGACGTTGCCGTGGTCGATGTTAGGCCTACCGGCCGCTGGCCCGTCGCGGACATTTTCGTTGGCGGTGGCTTTCTTGTACGTCCTCCGCCGCTTCCCTCTGAACTTGTTCTTACTTCTGTATTTCCGATGGTCGGCAACGGCCTTTTTCGGGCTTGCCATCGCACGAAAACAGCGAAAAATAACTCCGGAAAACAGTGAAGCGAACTACGGCAAGAAAACACGGGTGCTGTCAGCCAATGGCGGCCCTGCGTTAGTGGCGCGCGGTTTGAAACGGCGGGAAAAGACTGTTTTTGTTGCTTTTTTTTTAGATTTTTCGTGAACGTACGAGACTTCAAGAACCGGGATCGTGGAGAGTAAGGACAACTCTACACGAGCCAGCGGCCGCAATATGGCGGACAGCTCTCTTCGCGGCCCCGCGAGCACGCGAACAGCAGCCCGTTTTGTGTAAATTTCGTGATGCCGCGCGTCACTGCCGCTCACTCAGACGCGTTTTTCACTGACTTCTGATGCTTATTTCGCTGTGATATTTTCAGATGTCAAAATATAATGTATAAAGATGATAAAGCAACAAAAAACAGAAAAAGGTGAAATTTGGAAAAAAAAACGCGACTTTTCGACCCGCGTCTCCCCTTAATTCCTTGCAAAGAAGCACGTCGCCAAGAGTGCGCTTGTGCGTCGTTCCTGCCCGCAGTCTTGCTGTGAGCGGAGTTAGGGCTTAAGACAACTCCGATGACACGCCCCGCTCGTAGACCGTGCGCCCGCCTGTAGTAACCTGATCGCGCATCCGCTTACTGCTCCTAACTAAAGCGTAATTATATCTTGAGTGATCATCGAGCCGGGAACACGTCACGAAGTAGCGATTTTCGAGAGCCATGTCCTCACGATGCACAAGCAGCAGATGACGATCTCCCGGAGCGAGCATCGGGCCAAAGGCAAGGCGAGCTGAGGCAACATGGTGGCCACAGCTAATCAAGGGCCTCGAAACGACCATCAAACATTTGCTTTTTGTGCACTTGTTTTTAAAGGGAGGAGCCAGCTGAGGTTGGAAAGTTAAACGCTGAGAAATGCTCTTTTCCTATGAGCCCAAGAAGCCGGTTCCCGGCCCCGCCATAGCGAAGCTATAATTTTTTGAAAATTGCCGTTATCTCGCGATTTCCAGAGGAAGTTGTGCTACCTAGGTGGGTGAAATGTATTTTCCGAAGCACTTCTGCGTGGTTTTTCAGTGTAGATATTTCGGAATCAGATAGAAAAAAGGTTTCAGAACTGAAAACTTGATTTTCACAAAATCAATTTTTCTGCCATATTTTGCGATCCCAAAGCAGTCCCCCCCCTTTAAAGCAGGCACACCGGGGTCTCTCTTATTCATTGGTCTGTAGGCAAGAGAATTCAGATTTGCAGCCACTTCGTTCTTCGTTTTCTTTTCATATATTTTCTGGGACAGTACAGTAGACTTTCAGCAAACGAAACCTGAAGGAACCGGGAAAATGTGTTCCATTCAACACGAGTCCCGTTTACTGAGAGGTGAACATGGGTGCAGAACACAAGCCCGAAACCAAGCAGTTCAGAGGCGATAGTTTTGTTTAACAGATTTCCATTTACTGAGGTTGATTACTCACGTCTGCCAATAGTAAAGTGTGGTCATGAGAAGCTTTGCCTGCCTATCATTTCAAAATTGTGTGTTAACAAGCTTGTGGTGGACATGAAGTAAATTTCATATGCGAATGACGTCCCATATGTCACGTAATCCTTGCACTTGCATGATTTTTTTCAAGGGATGTGAAGTGGGCTAGGGCTACTATGTTTGAATCGCTGGGATGGGTGTGTTCTTAGCGAGATTTTACGGGACCGTCTCGAAATCAAGTTGGTTTCGAATTTGAGCTGAGGAAAAAAAAAATAAAGCTGGCTAGTGCGTAATTGTGTATCAAATATTTAACAAAATGTTGTTGTGCTTATTTTCTTGTGCAGTCTGGTCGCTCTCGAGGTTTCGCCTTCGTCTACTTCGAGTCTGTGGACGATGCCAAAATGGTAGGTAGCTGACGACGTGGGATGCTTTTCACAAAGCCTGTGCGAATAGTGAATTTTCGGTTCCAAGTGAATAGCGATTCCTGTTAAATAATTTTGAATTGAATTCGAATAGTATGTTCTCACATGTTCTATAATAACAGCATATTTGTAATGACCAAACTAATCTGCACAATATTTTTTTAAAAATTGAAACAAGGAGTGTGCAAGTGCCATTTTTTTGCATCAAAGGAAGTGTAAACAATATGAATAGTAGCAAGACAGCCCGAAAAATGTGGTTTTTACTTTGAGTATAGAAGTTGATATAGTGAGCTTTTAAGCTTAAGAGTAATATATCCTCATAACTTTAAAGTTGGGCTTCGTGGCAGTGTCAATTTCTCCTGGATACGCGTTTTCACAGCTCAGCACCACTTCACAGCAGTGAAACCACCTTTACAGAAAATTACATGCGCGCTAACATACACGTGCAGTAATACCTCATTAACTCGAACGCTCATATCTCGATAAATCTACTGCGTCAAAATTATCTGCGGCATCAAACAATTTCCTATTCGTCTCATGTATGTTTTCCTTATATCGAAGTACTTTTGGGTCGGATTGCGTATAACTCCAAATCTTGACTTGGGAGTGGAACGAAAATTCCGCCACTGACTCATTTCACAAGATTTCGCGTGATGCTCCCATGCCTGAAGTCTGTAGACTTTCATTTGATTTTCATTTGATAATTAGGTATTTTCTTATGGGTCGTGGTCAATCACAATAAAAAAAAACTTTGTTTTCGAAACTGTATGTTTCCTCTAAAAAGTTCATGCCATAGGCTAAAGCAAACTAGATGTCAAAATGGCTGTTTCTTTGATCAGAAATAATTTTTAATCTCTAATGGTAAAAATAAGCTTCCAGTAATGAGCTGGTATTTATAGTATACTTACGGTTCTATCAAGGTTGAGAGAAAAAAAAAAGCTTTTGGCTCAAGCATTGCTGATTGTAACGGTGCCAAGTTTATCGTAAATACCTGCGTATAGTACGAACCCGAATATAATACTAATAATACTATAATATAATAGAGGCGCGAAATGAGAAAAAAATTTTACCCTCGTATAAAATGACTTAGAAAAGGTCACCGAAAACACATTTATTGAGCACACATCCACCATGTCAATTGCTGTCGTCTTCAATTGCGCTTTCCTCCAACATTTCGTTGTCGGACAAAGTGTCAAATAGGTGCTCGTTTTCTGTGCCATCAAGGGCATTACAGATGCCGCACTTTTTGAAGGAACGACTGACAAGGTCCTCTGGGATGCTTGCCCAAGGCCATTTGCATAGCGTGGCCGGCGACGCCCGTTTCTGCCGCCCGGTCGGCGCAGCAAGGCTTAACCGCATCCTCGAACAGCTTATTCACACAAACGTCGAAAGGTTGCAGTTGAGATGTCATCCCACCCGGGATCACGACCAGTTCCGTGCCGCAGGAGCCTCTTCACTGAGTCGGCCAAATAACAGCGAAACACATCCAGCACCAGAATGAATTCGAAAAGAGAGCAGGGCCCCAGGCCGTCTGCACCACACAGACTTTATTCAGTCTAGGACAAGGTCTTCATTCATCCAGCCTTTATCATGACGTCTCACGATGACTTCAATAGCTCCTCCCCTTTCGGCATTGTCTTGCGCTTGAAGACTACATAAGGCTTGTGACTGTCCGCCGTGCACGATAACATCACTGTGACACGCGTTTTTTCATTGCCAGTGGTACAGACACTAACCTCCTTCGAGCCCTTCTCGTGAACTGCTAGGGGCGATGGCATGTCCAGGTAAACTGGCGTTTGATCGGCGTTGCGGATTTGTCCCAGCTGGAAGTTCTGCGAGCGGCGCAACGTAATCACATGGCTTTGAAATGAGATAAGAAGCTCTTCAAAGGCTTCAGGGAGCTTCTGAGAAATAGCGGTTTGCCGGCGCAGAAAAATCCGGCTCGGCACATGCGACAGTATATCCAGTGCTTGCTGGCTTTGAAGTCTGAGCTCGACATCCCTTTTTCTCTCGCCAGCTCCTTCGCTTTGATTTGCATCAGCTCCATGTTGACTGTCAAGTGCGCTGCCCGCTGCTGTCAAACGAACTCTGTCAGTGCGAGGTCAATCTCTGGGAAGGCCCCTTTCATTGGATCACGAAAGCCTTTTCACTTTCTGCTGCACGCAAAAAGCGCTTATTTCTGTCGTCGCCATCCACGGACACTTCCCTTGGTGACTCCGAACTGTCTTCTGGCCGCACGTTGCACCTTTGCGAAGTTAGGCACAGAACGCAGCGAGGTTGACATGTCTGCCCATGTCCGCTGTCCAAGTGCTCAAAAAACTCAACAACAAAGAAAGAAATGGCGCGAGCGCTCACGAAGATAACAAAGCCAAGCCATGGCCACTCGTAGACAAAACAAAGCCGTAGCTGAGCGGCAGTTACGAAACCGAAACTTCAAGCACAATTCCGTTTTTCGAGCAAGTTTTCGTTTGGATCCGCACATAGTACAAGGCGGAAATTTGGAACGCTAATTTGTAAAAAGACCTCGTATTATACGCGGGTATTTACAGTGTTTAGATATCTTGATATAAACTTGCTCAAAACTTGTGTTAGGCATATTCCCTTCACAAAAATGACAATGCCAAGAAAATCATGTTTCCAGTTTTAAAAACATTTGTTATTTCGTATATTGAGCTTTAACAAAAAATATATTTTGCCATAATATAGAATTTCTCCAGAACATACTTTCCACTGTAAGTACCTCAAATGGCAATTTTCGCAAGTCAGCATTGTTCACAATTTTGTGCTTTTTAAAACTTTTTAAAGACTTTTTTTTTTTTAAGTGGCAAAACCCAAACCTGCATGAGGAGAAAGATTAGAAACTACTGCTGCACAGCCAGAAAGTAGAGCTCATTTTTCTCTGCCATTAGCGCAACTTTGCTTATCTTGAAAGTTCGTTTATCTGGTTTTCAATTGGTTTTTATCTTGTGTGTTGTGCAGTTGCCACCTTTTTTATTTGTGAAAAAGAATTTGTGATATTGCATGGTGCTCTTCAAAGTTACTGAATTAGAGGCTGCCTTTGTACAGTGCTGCACTTGTCTGTACTAAAAGCACGGCTGAATGATCGCTTGGCAATAGTGTCAACAGAAAGGCTTAACTGAAGCGTTAGCTGTTTCCGTCCATTCTAACACCTTTTGTTTTCCATTTGATGGCTCACTCGTCGTCACAGCTGTTATGTTGTGAAGCCTTCTGCAGCTGTTCATGCCTTATTTACATTAAGACCAACGTGCGGTTGTGCTGATCTGTGTTCGTGTGCCTCTGTGTGTGTGTGCACTGTTCTGCAGGCCAAGGACCGCTGTAACGGCCTTGAGATAGACGGCCGCAAGATCCGAGTGGACTACTCAATCACCCAACGGGCACACACACCCACACCGGGCATCTACATGGGCAAGCCATCCTAGTGAGTCTTTCAGCACGTTTTCATGGCATAAAGATGTGTTTTGTGCTTGGCACCAAAGCTTTCTCTATGAGCTAGGCTCAATGTGATGCTGCTAGAAATGCTGCTCAGCTTTGTTAGTGGTGATAATTAATCCTGTGCGAATAGTGAATTTTAGGTTCGAAGGGAATAGAGATTTTGGTCTTGAATCGAATCCGAATAGTACAAGTGACATGTAGAGAAATGGGCATATGTATCGTGACCTAACTTACCTGCATAATGTCTTTAAAAATTGAAACAGGGCCTCTCTGCAAATTCAGTTTCTTTTTTTCTTTTTTTTTTTTTGTTCAAGGGAAGTCGAAAGAACCTTTCGTAGCAGGATTTCTTTCAGCAGGATGCGAGTCAAAACCCTTCAAGGGGACACTGTTTTCAGAAGGCCAAAAATCGCAAAAAATTGACTTCTTGAAGCTGACATTTTCGGTATTTGTACCTATTTTTGCACCTATCTGAGAAGTTTCTGGCTTCTCGTGTCATTATTTCTGACGCAAAATGAATTTATCACCTCCCTGTGAAATGATTGTGAGCGCAAATTGACGCTAAAATCGTGCTTTTTCCGCGCCGAACTGTTGCCTTTATGCACGAGCTATCATGTTCATCTTGGTCTCTTTTGGAAGGGTCGCTCTTCATCTTCAATTACCCGCCACCGCTGGCTCGCCTTGCTCGTTGTTTTTTTTTTAAAGCAAAAACACGTCACCGAGAAGCACTAGCAGGCGATTCAATTGGCTGCTTGGGGCACGTGACAAAACATAGGCACCCGATTGGCCAAGGGGCGCTTTCGGCGTCTGCTTCACCATCGTGACGCACACGGACATGCGCCATTTTGTCATGGTGCTACTGACTGCCTGCGGCAGTAAAGAAGTTCCGTGCTACAGTAATTTGTGAAGCGGGCGTGGCAGTCGTTCATTCGCTGTGAACTTCAGAAAGAGCCCTGCTATGGCTCAGGACAACGAGGATAACGAATTCGACGCGATCAACGGGGATCGCAGAGTTACCGGTGTAGGCCTAACTCACGTACGAGCCCATTGGTTGCAGACAACGTTACTGAGAACGGCTGTGTTTTGCAGCTTCATCAATTAGTGGACGGCAAGTGAAAAGCAGGAGTGAAGCTACAAGAGATATCAATATTTGTAGTGACGGAACGAACAGCGCAGTCTTATCGCTAAACAGGCCGATGCCGCGGTTCCCCCGCCTGACGAAAGGACCTTGAACTGCGCGACGGGTCGTCGGAGTGGAGTACGCCGCGCGTCGACGAACAGAAAGTCAATCCGTTCGCTGTGAACATGCTCGCCGCCCCCGCATTGGAGGCTACTGGCAATAGGTAAACTGCTTTTAACGACACGTTCGCAATGTTGTCGCGATCTCCGCTCTAAAATGCGGCAGTCTTGCGTGAAAAGGAAACTAACACCTCGGCACTCGTGTAGCCTCGAAATTGATGAGCGACGGAGCAACTTTGGTTCGCGAAATTTACGGGTAACTCATTCTGGACAAGCCGGAAAACAATCAGTCCTGTTACATTCCCGGTGCATATTAACTGACTAAAAGTATGTATGCCATGATATTTTTCACTCGGAATGGCGAAATAGTTTTAACAGCATTATTCTCGAAGACAAATTTTGACCACTTTCTTTTGCTTGTAATTGTTTTTTGCACAATGTAGCTAAATTTGCACAAAAATAATGCTGAGAGCCTATTTTGAATGGGCAGCTTCTTTTTATTTTATTATTATTTGTTTAATTACATGCCATGAACTGTATTGTGCTCTAAGAGAAGTACTCGTTCAATTTACGATCAGCTTGCAACGTTGCACTCCTTAGGCTTCTTAGCATTCATTTATATGTCAATGGCTATGTTATTCTAAGTACATGCATTTTTACAGTTAAAAATGTTAGAATTCTTTGTTTTCTTCATTTTCTCAAAATGGCAATTTTGTACACCCTTAATGAAAATTACTGCAATATATCTGAAACTATTACAGATAGCAGAATATGTCTTTTTGCAGCATGAAGCTGTATGTTTGGAGCACACAACATAGGAAGCAGATTTGAACTAGTCTTTTGTGTGACCACACAATAGCCACGTTCAGAGCTGTGAAGTTTAGTGTACTGTAAAGTAAGAAATCATGACCCACTCAAAAAAGTGCTTCCTATGTTGTATGTCTTATGCTTTCTACTGTCAATTGCCATGTCATTTGACTGGTGGTTATTTTTCTAGTGGTAAGAACAATATAAATTATCTCAATTATTTAATTAACTAATGAAGCTACAGAAAAATTAACTAGATATTTAGAATCGGGAGAACAAACTTGGTTCAAAAATAAATGAGAGAGCTCGAAGACCCATGTCCCCCCTTAAATAACTTTTTAAGATTTATTGTACTTGGAGCGTATAAAGCCATCACAACACTCTTTTAAGCTTAATAAAATGCATTGATTTGAGGGTAATATTTTCATATAAAGGGGCCGTCGGACTTTCAAGTAGCCATGGAATAGATTCACGAAGGATGCATATTGCGTCATGGTTTCACCGTCCATTATGTGCGGAGTTGCAAAGATTTCTCGCACCTTGCAAGTGCATTCTCTTCTCGTCCTGACGAAAGCGCTGGGAGGAATGGCTTGGGGAAAGAAAATACGTCATGTGTGCTTTCTGAGCTTGTGGAGTCATTTGCCGAGAAGATAGAGCAATTTTTAACTGACTTTACAAATTTATTGCGAATTGAACACGTGCAGCGCTGCAATATTTGGCTTGTGTGTCCTCGATGGCCGCCACTACAGATAGACAGCGTTTTCTGACAATGCTTAAGGGGGGATGCTACACCTTCCAAAAACTCTTTTATTTTTGCGAGTACCTCAGTCAACTTTGGAGAGCCTATGTAGATTTTACTGCTGATTTCAAAAATCTAATTCTTTTTTTGCTGTGACAATTAGTTTTAAAGATATAATGAACAGCGACTTTTTTAATTAAGGCCTAATTAGCTAATTAACTGTAACTTGGATATTGATGTGCAACCTATAGAACCAATTCGGTATGTTCACAGTGTGCAATAAAGTATAAATCATAGTTCTGGGCTATTTCGAAGCAAAGTTGTGGGATGTTGAATATGACATGAAAAATTTCCCCATCTACACTTGAAACAAAAGATCCATTTAGAGAATTTTCTCCAAAAATTATTACAATAAAACTTACTTTACGACACATCCCCTGCATTTATCTTCGAAACAAAAAAGAAATCGTAATGATAACCCAGATAGAACAAGAGATATTTCTCCGGCATAATGGGAAGCACATGAAAATTGTCGTTTTGAGAATCGAGAAAAACGTGGGCACACATTTTATTGCAGAAGATGCAACAAGACAACCTCAAAACGCACCAGAAGCATAGTCTGAATGCATTCTGTGCTCATGCCTCCTCTTCACTAGCTTCCGGAGTTCCAATGAGGCTGTCTTTTCTTGTTGGAGACAATGCTGCGACACTGGTCTTTTTCTCTCGCTCTCCTGGCACCAGTACTTGTCGCATTCATGTCCATTTCACCTAAGATTGCCGTTGCAGAATTCAAATTGCCCGTGTTGAAGCGCAGCACTGCTTCTGCAACAGCTGCTTCAACAGCGAACAGGGACGCATGGTGCTCCTTGGGGGCCAAACTCCAGATTACCGAATGTAGTTCTGCGTATTGCCGCGTTCGCACCTCTGAAGCAGGGCTCTTTCCGAAAGCCGGGTATAAACCGGTAGTAATGCCTCTGCCACGTCTTTCGGTAGATTGTAGGCATGCTTGGGGTCGGGCTCACCCTTTGCTTTTGCGGCATTGTGCCGACACCATGAAGTTTCACCAGCTGGGCACAGACTGTGGTCCGAGCATTCATCAGTGGAGGTGACGTGGCGGTATGTGGCCATCACAGCCTTTTGCATCTCGCCCACGTCACCTTCATGCGATTTCAGAGCCCGGCCATAATATGTGCTCAGCCTGGTGATCAGCTCACCTGTGAGCCTGCCTTTCCCACCAAGGCCTCTTTTCCCATCGCACTTTTGTTTCTGCACCAGGTTTCTCAATGCGGTGCCCATCCGTTCCTGTACATGATTAAGTCTTCCTTCTGCACGTCAATGTAACCATACACCTTGGCGTCTTGTATGGCGCAAAATGTCCTAGAGTCTCCATCAGACAGCATAGTTGTGTAGCGCAGGCCATGGCGTTCAAGCGACCTCTGAAATAGAATTAGAGCCGCCTCCACTTCCATTTGCCCCGCTTTGCTGTTCATATTTTTTTGGCATTTGTGGTTAGCCTTCCATTCTTGATAGCCCTCACTACTAGGCTTTGGGCCCACCTCGCAGCCTAAGCAAAAGTTAGAAAGAACGACGTAGTCCAACACGTAGCCACTAAATAATTCGATAACTGTGCCCACGCTGATGTGGGAAGAATGGCCTCGCGTCTTCCACGTGCCGTCGTAGCTAACGGCAAAATTGCCCCGGTTGCCGAAGCACAAGTCATCATAAATTGTTCTAACCTTTTCTGCACATTCGCTCATAGCGGACTCAGCCGCTCGCGTTGCAGCGGGTGCCAGCGTGTTCTTCAAATGCCGCTGAAACGTCTTGTGGTGCATACCGCGGTGTGAGATGCCCATTGTTGCGAAAATATCGTTCATTTTCGTTTGGCCGTTGCCGGTAGCCACCATCGCCCTCGAAGCGAGATTTACTTCAAACGGATTGCACGTTTTCGTGCCGTTCGCGCGGGGCGAAGTCCATTCATTCGCGATCTCGCCGCACCTTTCACACTGCACTAGCACTTTCACGGCAAGTCCGTAGTCCCGATCCCCTCTGACGATCGTAGCCGGTCCGTGGCAGGCTTTGCAACACAAGGCACCCATTATCGCGTTTAGGATATCTAGATGCATAAGCAGATAAGGAGCAGCGTGGTCCGAGTCCTGTGCGGTTGCCTCGCTACAACTCGCGGTGAAAAGTCAATTTTCCGTGCA